ACTCCAATCCTGGCGATAGCAAGCAACAGTGACCGGCGTGGCAACCAGCTGATCGACGTCGACCCAGAGGACCAGCAGTGGCCGCCGCAGCAGCTGCACTTCAGGGCGCCAGTGCTCCTACCCCAAAGGGCCCTGTGCCACGTCGCGGCCCGCGCCTGGCCGGACGCGCAGGACTGGCTGGACGCCGGCGCTGGAGGGTCATCGAGGGGTGGTTCTTCATCGAGGCGCGGTGCCGAAAAGAGATTGCTGGAAACTGCATCAAAGGCATCAGGGGCAGCCCCCAAAGACAAACAGTGCGAGTACTACAACATCAGTGAAAGGAAACGTCAGAACCTCGACATCAGTGCCTCTCGGGGCACCCCTCGGACTCCGAGAGGATCCGCAGGCGCCGCCTCATCATCGGCGGGTGCCCGCGCACCTGCAGCATCCGCAGCGGCCAAATCTGCAGGACGGACTGATCAGCCAGAGCAGAGTTCCGCGGGGCAACCGGCTCTTACTCTCGAAATGCCTGTTGAGTGCAGACAGTATTGGGAATGTCTACGCACGCCCAGACGTATGCAGATCAACCCCGCATATCAACCCCATATCGATGACGGGTCTGATCGATATATCGTGGTGAAGTGCGACGCCAAGGATACTGCCGTCATTGCCGATAATGACGCTCACGCGCGTTGGGTTGTGCGCAATCTCCTGCGTGGACGCCCGGCTCTCATTCGTGTGTCCGGGAAGAGCTACTTGACGGGGATCCTCAAAGAAGATGGAGTTGTTGGACCAGACTTGGTCTATGAGGAGCAGCGCTGCTGCTCAGAGTGGCTTACTACCGCTACTCGCCACAAACCATTTCACAACAACTATCTCCTCTGATAGGTTTCTGAGAGCAGTGCCGTCTTTCGACGAATTCGATGGGTGGGTGGAGCTCTCGGAGCTGCTGGACAAGTGGCCACCTGAGGGATGTGATCATTACCGCTCCAAACACCTGGAGACTGTCCGGCGCTGTCTCAGCGACCGCCATTGGGCATATCGAGCACTGACTGTGCTGAACTTGATCGGCATGGTTGATAACGCTGGTACGCATAAACAGGCTCCAGATCAAATCAAGCGAGCTGTGGCCGTCAAGGATGACGACGTCTTCGCGAAGGCTGACATCCTGGCAAACCCCGGAAGAGCATCGAAAGCCCTATGCACTGGACTCGACATGGTTTGTCGACAAGTGTTTCAACGTGCAAGATCTATCTAAAGCGTCAAACATCATGACTTCGAGGTCTGTGTGCACATTGAAGTTTGTGAAGAGCGAGAAGGGCGAGATGGAACATGCCATCATATTGCGCCTGGTGCTTCGAGGCTTCATGGGCCTTGAAGCCTTGGGCGTCGAAGCTATCTCAGGAACGGCACGGCGGTCGAGCCAGAGGTCACTCGCAAGCGCGGCAGCGTGCAGGAAGCACTGGATCACTGCTTCCCTCGACATCAACATGGCCTTCCTGAAATGGGTGGCCTGCCAGGACCTTTCCGAGGCAGCTGGTGAGAAAGAACGTGTGGTGTGCCTTGCTCTGCCGCCTGGATCGGCTACGGTGCTTCGATCTCTCCTAGAAATCGAGCGCTACGACGAGTCGAAGCACTGCTTGCAGTGCCTCGGGCCAGGTACTTGCAGCAGGGACGCACCTCGGGCTTTCTCATTAAAGCTCAGGAGGACCACGAGAGGTTGCGGTCTCAGACCCGCGTCCTACGACGAGGAGTTTGAGGCGAGCAGCAATCTGCTCGCGGCCAAACATGTCGATGACAGATGGCCGACACAGAGGACACCGTTGACAAGCGCGCCAAGTGCGTGGAGGACACTTTTGGTAAGTGTAGACTCAACGAGCACACGTGCGCCACTTGTGCTGTGATATATACGAATGATGAGGGCGGTAGTGTTACGTTGGACCCAGACGAATGCATGAAACAGCTCCGTCCTATACAACCTTCTGAATTTACTGGCGCTGACGCTGGCGCCCAAGCATCCGAGATGGTTGCAGACATGTTCGTCAGCCTCAGAGGCGAATTGGCATCTGCATTAATCGCCCAGGTGTGGTTGATGGTATATGTTGTCTCTCTACAACGTGCCCAAGAACCGACCGACATACAAGTGCGACGACTGAGCGCGATGACCAGGCAACTGCAGGCCTTCCCTAAGAAGATCGCCTACCAAGCGATGACTCCCACAGGCGAAATTGACTTGCACAGCGACTCAGGTTATCGACGCCTAAGTTGAGATGCCGATGGCGAAGTCGAAGGTTATGGTATCCGCGGGGCAAACCTGCTACGGCGTAGAAGCACGCCATCTGGCAAGCCTGTCGCTCACTTGATCGATGTGCGCTGCAAGTCTCACCGCTTGCAGGTCCCCTCGAGCTATTCCGCAGAGACATTCGCAGCGGCCCGCAACTTGGGCGACTGCTATCCCACGATCGTGACTCTGCACGAGCTCCATGCTGGGCCGTTAACTCCCGCTCAGTTGAAAGACTTA